GGCTGCTGCTCTGGTCACCCCCGTGACTGTCGGTACGGTGTGCAGTCAGTCTAACAATCCACCCTCCTGTCAGCCAGGTCAGTGATGGGATCAGACTCTGAGGCTGCTGCTCTGGTCACCCCCGTGACTGTCAGCGTGTACGGTGTGCAGTCAGTCTAACAATCCACCCTCCTGTCAGCCAGGTCAGTGATGGGATCAGACTCTGAGGCCGCTGCTCAATATCCGCCTGTGAGACCCGTGAGCCGGAGACCTGGGCAGACGCACGGTTAGGACGACAGGGGGCAGGGTTTATTCCGTCAGTGCTCATGAGGGAGGAATTCCTAAATGAAGCTGAACTGATAGTAAATCTCCTCCTGCCCCTGGAATTGATGAATTCCCTTCCCCCCCTCAGTAGTAGTTATCCACCTCCATGATTGCCTCAGCCCGGCAGGAGGACTCCTCTATAGGTATACACAGTGGGAGGACGCTGGGTCAGATGTATATACAGGAGGAATGAAATGGGGTGCTCTCCAATGGTGACAACCCCAAAGGAGAAGCAGCAGACTGATGAGCTCCTCCCTCTGTCACCTTGCTCTCTCCTCCTATTAGCATGCCCCTTCTAGCATGTGCTGCTTCTCCCTCTAAGGACTGCGAGAGGCTGAAGGTATCGGCTCATATTTGGGTATTTCTGTCACACCTTTAATATGTAACTGAATGCAGAGTATTCTGATTTGTCTTCCACCTTCTGGTCGGTGAAGCGGTCTGCCATCCAGAGTAGAGGGAAGCAGGAGCAGCCGTTCTGAGCGTTCCATGCCGCTGTCAGGATATGGTGACTATTGAGGTGCGAGTTCCATGGATGTCGTCCTGCTTCCTCAGGGAGCCCCTGTCCTGGAACAAGCATGGAGCTATCCGGTATGTGGGCAGGGTATATGTATGTTCCGGGTCAGCGGCTCCCCAAGGAGTGAAAGGAGGACGACGCACGTTGTAAAGGAGTCGGCAATTCTTCCCTTTCAGCAGATACACATTACGCCCCATTCAGACCCGCCCGGGGTGTGAACCACCGTTCCCCTAGATGAGGCCTCCTTCCGACTCAGTGATGTACAGCCGGGGTCTCAGCCTTGGAGTTTGTCTCCTAAAACGTAAAAATGTAAAACCTCCTCCAATGTGACGGAAGTCATGACTTTTATTAGAAACGTATGGAATCCTTCATTACCGGGTGGAGGGGGACACTGGGCACTTCCTGCTGGTATAGTGAATATCGATGTGACTGTGGGGTCTCCGTTTGCCGTCTGCCAGGGGGGGACAACTCTGTACCGCTGGTTAGGACTTTTTTTTTTCCTCCATAAAATCCCTTTAGAATAAAATCCCTATAGCGCCAATTATCCACTAGAATACCAGTGACCTCAAATATATACCGAGGGCAACGACTAGTCCCCATCATTGTCTGGGGTCTCCCTGCAGATGATCTGTTCCCATTACTGACTCACCATGCCTTGTTCTGCACTGTGTGTGTGGAGGCGGCCATCTTTGTGAAGGAGCAGGGCTTTGCTTCGTCACCTCCAACAAGAGCAGCGAGTACAGCAAAGGTGTTCCCAGATCTCCAGGACAAGCAGTCTGACACCAAGTCGCTCGCCCTGAATCTCCAGGACTAGCAGTCACCGACACCCCAAATCTCCACTAGCCCCAAATCTCCATGACTAGCAGTTTGACACCCCAAATCTCCATGACTAGCAGTTGCTCGCCCCGAATCTCCAGGACTAGCAGTTACTGACACCAAGACACCCCAAATCTCCATGACAGCAGTTGCCCAAATCTCCAGGATTAGCAGTACTGACACCAAGACACCCCAAACAGGATTAGCAGTCTAACAGTCACCCCAGAAATTTTTTGGATTTATATAGCAAAGTTTCATGTTATTTGCCTCCAGCTCAGCATTGCTCTGTACATGGCGGGCCATTAATTCTTCTATGGAACTGGGACTATAGATTTGGGTTTTTCCCCTCTAAAAGCAGTGTTCAGTGTAGAAGCCGGTTCTATCACTAGAAGTGTATTTGGCTGCCCGGGTCTTGGCGGTGTGGCATAGCCTGTTAGGCGCGGTCACATTGGAGAGGATAGCCGTACAAAGGAGGTTCAGTAGAACTGAATGATGCTGAAATGCAGAGTATTGCCGCCACAGCAAAGAGGGACATCTCTGGGTAGAAGGTGGGCTTCCTTGTGTTCACCCAAATGGCAGGCCTTGAGGAATCTTGGGAAGGTAAGAGTTAAGTACGTTATATATAGAACAATGTAAGATACACCAGACAATACAGATGTTGGGATGGACTGGAAGAGCATTCTGTACACTTAGTGAGGAAAGAAGTTTAGTACAAAATAGATACAAATGGACATTTCCTGAACGTTGGATTCCTCCTTCAGACACACAGAGGAGATTGTAGATGGAGAGCGCTGAGCAGGACCATTCTGTCTGGCCATAGTCGGGTCATACGTCCAACCTCTCCAAGCCAACCATTGTAGATGGAGGATAGTTCTCCCTCCCCCCCTTCTGTGTGTTCTTTGCTGGTAGCAGGTTTTTGTAGAAGATCCAGCTGCCCCAGGTTTTATCTACAAGCACTGTTCACATCCAAACACGTACCCCAAAATATCAACAGCAGATGTTGGATTCCAGAACCTATTACCCAAAGAACAATAGGCAAGGATATTTCCCACATAATTCATATTGACAGAAGGAATTTACAAGATTTGCTCAATGTTCTTTCCTTCTGGTCATGGGAGCTCCATCCAGACCCACATTAATAAGTACACTCCGTTTATTAGGAACACAATGCTAATCCTGGCTGCAGCCTCCCTCTACTCATAAAACGGCCTCCGTTCTTCCTGGTGTGGATTTCACATACAAGTCTTCTGAGATTATGGTCTGATGGAAATCTCTGCACATTCATGATGTTCTATAGAATTCAGATCCAGGGACCGGCTTACCATCTCTGGACCTCAGCAGAAATGGAGCTTTATCAGACCAGGCCACATTCTTCCAGCCTTGGTGGTCTTGTGCCCACTTCCTCAGCTTTCTGGTCCTGCCTGACAGGAACCCAATGTGGTCTTCTGCTGGTGTAGTCCATCCACCTCAAGGCTTGAGCCACCGAGCCTGTCCACAAAAGATGTCATTGCCTCAATGCTTGAACCACTAGGCATGTCCACAAGGTGCCATCCATCTCAAGTCTTGAACCACTAGGCTTTTCCACAAAATATGCCATCTCCTCAATACTTGAACCACTAGGCATGTCCACAAGGTGCCATCCATCTCAAGTCTTGAACCACTAGGCCTTTCCACAAAATATGCCATCTCCTCAATACTTGAACCACTAGGCATGTCCACAAGGTGCCATCCATCTCAAGGCTTGAATCACTAGGCATGTCCACAAGGTGCCATCCATCTCAAGGCTTGAACCACTGGTCATGTCCACAAAAGATGCCATCCGCCTCAATGCTTGAACCACTGGTCATGTCCACAAAAGATGCCATCCGCCTCAATGCTTGAACCACTAGGCATGTCCACAAAAGGTGCCATCCGCCTCAATGCTTGAACCACTGGGCATGTCCACAAAAGGTGCCATCCGCCTCAATGCTTGAACCACTGGTCATGTCCACAAAAGGTGCCATCCGCCTCAATGCTTGAACCACTGGTCATGTCCACAAAAGGTGCCATCCGCCTCAATGCTTGAACCACTGGTCATGTCCACAAGGTGCCATCCATCTCAAGGCTTGAATCACTGAGCATGTCCACAAAAGATGCCATCTGTCTCAAGGTTTCGTATGTTGTACATTGTGAGATGCTTTCCTGCTCATCACCATTGGTAAAGGTCAGTGATCTGAGCTCCTGGAGCCTCTCTGTCCGCTCCAACCACCCTGGCCATTCTGACCTCCCTCATTGATGGGATGTTCCTGTCTGCAAACCTCCCAATCACTAGATGGGTTTTCTGCGTAAACCTGAGACTTTTGTGTAAGGACACAGCCTGCCTGGCACCAGAAATCCTTCCATGGTCACAGATCACATTTCTCCATCATTCTGGTGTTTTGATGTGAACAATAACTGAAGCTCCTGACCTGTATACACTGTGCTGACTGACAATCGCATGGATGAGCAGGTGGATGACTTCCTAATACATTGCTTGGTTGGTCTGTGTTCCAACAAAAACCAGATGTGCCAACACATGGACCAAGGAAGAATCCAGAACCCCCAGAGGTGCCATTACATCCTGAATAATCTTTCATTTGCATCGTCGGATGTTCTTACTATGAACACACAACGGAACCATTTGGTCCTGTCGGTATGCAATGACTTGTTCAGAACCCTTGAATGTTTTGTTTTGAAGCCTGAAGAAGGAGCCAGATGTTCCTCATCTGAATGTTGTATTTTCCCTCATTTTCCGTCTTGGTGACAATTGCCGTTACACAAAATGTTCAGCATTGGTTGTTTGTATTTTTTTTTTTTTTTTGTGTTGTTCCTTTTTTCTTCAGGTAATCCCTCCTGATCTAAACTGCACTCCCCTGGCTACTGGCCTACTCTTCCATATCACAGTTGTGGCCCCTCGAGGTTTGAAGAAATACCAGGATGGCGGGATACAACTGTGACCTGGAGGTAAAAGTGAGCAATGGAGGGGTGCAGTTTAGCTGGGGTGGGTTTATGGTTTGATAGAAGCAGATGTGTCCTTTAAACCTCAACAAGGAGAGAGCCTCAGCCCTCATCTATGATCGGTGTAGGTTGCAGATGCTGCCATAGATGTTCAACGATATCTGTAGCAGCACTCCTACAACCAGGCCTTCATAGGAGGGCGAGACGCCTCAGCTGACCCTCTGCTTCCAGATGGAAGATCATGCTCCATTGTGAACCATTCAGGAGCCTTCTCTGAGGGGAGAGTTCCCCTTTAAGATGTCGGCCCTCTCGCCTTCCCGCCAGGAGCTCTGATTTGCTCAGTAGACCCGAGGCCTCCAATCAATGTGTGTTTTTCCCGCTTGTCTTCTAGAATCGCCAAGAAGATGCTTCTGGAGCAAATAAAAGCCGATTTGTCGTCTGATGATGATGTGTCCTCCGAAGAGCCGGAAGAAGGCAAGAAAGCCAAGAAGGTCAAATCCCGGAAAGACGGCAATGAGGAAGATGATGGTGAGATTTCAACTTTCTTACTGTCGTTTGTGTCATGTCAATGCTGGGCTTTGTCCATACCTGTCCATGGGACTGCGCTGGTAGGATGGTCCAATCATAGATCCACTGAAGGCTGAATGACGGCTCTGCTGTCACTTCATGTATGTTATCCGTTTTCTGGTTCCTCATACGAGACCATTCACATGATTACAGAATCCTACCCTAAAAAATACAGCCAAAGCCTCTTCCTGGTATTACCAGTGAGCGGGGGAAGGGAGAACTCCATCTTGGTGCCAAAAGTACCATAAGACCAGATCACGAACGTGAGAGAACATCTGCAGCTTCATTCGTGGACTGAGAGGAGGCTTCATTCATGGACTGTATTCTAGGAGGGGGTCCCCATAGCTTCATTCATGGACTGTATTGTAGGAGGGGGTCCCCATAGCTTCATTCATGGACTGTATTCTAGGAGGGGGTCCCCATAGCTTCATTCATGGACTGTATTCTAGGAGGGGGTCCCCATAGCTTCATTCATGGACTGTATTCTAGGAGGGGGTCCCCATAGCTTCATTCCTGGACTGTACTATAGGAGGGGGTCCCCATAGCTTCATTCATGGGCTGTACTATAGGAGGGGGTCCCCATAGCTTCATTCATGGGCTGTACTATAGGAGGGGGTCCCCATAGCTTCATTCATGGACTGTACTATAGGAGGGGGTCCCCATAGCTTCATTCATGGACTGTATTCTAGGAGGGGGGTCCCCATAGCTTCATTCATGGACTGTATTCTAGAGGGGGGTCCCCATAGCTTCATTCATGGACTGTATTCTAGGAGGGGGTCCCCATAGCTTCATTCATGGACTGTATTATAGGAGGGGGTCCCCGTAGCTTCATTCATGGACTGTACTATAGGAGGGGGTCCCCATAGCTTCATTCATGGGCTGTACTATAGGAGGGGGTCCCCATAGCTTCATTCATGGACTGTACTATAGGAGGGGGTCCCCATAGCTTCATTCATGGACTGTACTATAGGAGGGGGTCCCCATAGCTTCATTCATGGACTGTACTATAGGAGGGGGTCCCCATAGCTTCATTCATGGACTGTATTATAGGAGGGGGTCCCCATAGCTTCATTCATGGACTGTATTATAGGAGGGGGTCCCCATAGCTTCATTCATGGACTGTATTATAGGAGGGGTCCCCCATAGCTTCATTCATGGACTGTATTATAGGAGGGGGTCCCCATAGCTTCATTCATGGACTGTACTATAGGAGGGGGTCCCCATAGCTTCATTCATGGACTGTACTATAGGAGGGGGTCCCCATAGCTTCATTCATGGACTGTACTATAGGAGGGGGTCCCCATAGCTTCATTCATGGGCTGTACTATAGGAGGGGGTCCCCATAGCTTCATTCATGGGCTGTACTATAGGAGGGGGTCCCCATAGCTTCATTCATGGACTGTACTATAGGAGGGGAGTCCCCATAGCTTCATTCATGGACTGTACTATAGGAGGGGGTCCCCATAGCTTCATTCATGGACTGTACTATAGGGAGGGGTCCCCATAGCTTCATTCATGGACTGTACTATAGGAGGGGGTCCCCATAGCTTCATTCATGGACTGTATTATAGGAGGGGGTCCCCATAGCTTCATTCATGGACTGTATTATAGGAGGGGGTCCCCATAGCTTCATTTATGGACTGTATTATAGGAGGGGGTCCCCATAGCTTCATTCATGGACTGTATTATAGGAGGGGGTCCCCATAGCTTCATTCATGGACTGTATTATAGGAGGGGGTCCCCATAGCTTCATTCCTGGACTGTACTATAGGAGGGGGTCCCCATAGCTTCATTCATGGACTGTATTATAGGAGGGGGTCCCCATAGCTTCATTCCTGGACTGTACTATAGGAGGGGGTCCCCATAGCTTCATTCATGGACTGTACTATAGGAGGGGGTCCCCATAGCTTCATTCATGGGCTGTACTATAGGAGGGGGTCCCCATAGCTTCATTCATGGACTGTACTATAGGAGGGGGTCCCCATAGCTTCATTTCATGGACTGTATTGTAGGAGGGGGGTCCCCATAGCTTCATTCATGGACTGTACTGTAGGAGGGGTCCCCATAGCTTCATTCGTGGACTGTACTGTAGGAGGGGGTCCCCATAGCTTCATTCGTGGACTGTACTGTAGGAGGGGGTCCCCATAGCTTCATTCGTGGACTGTACTATAGGAGGGGGTCCCCATAGCTTCATTCGTGGACTGTACTATAGGAGGGGGTCTCCATAGCTTCATTCATGGACTGTAGTATAGGAGGGGGTCCCCATAGCTTCATTCATGGACTGTATTGTAGGAGGGGGTCCCCATAGCTTCATTCATGGACTGTATTGTAGGAGGGGGTCCCCATAGCTTCATTCATGGACTGTATTGTAGGAGGGGGTCCCCATAGCTTCATTCATGGACTGTACTGTAGGAGGGGGTCCCCATAGCTTCATTCATGGACTGTACTGTAGGAGGGGGTCCCCATAGCTTCATTCATGGACTGTACTGTAGGAGGGGGGTCCCCATAGCTTCATTCATGGACTGTACTATAGGAGGGGGTCCCCATAGCTTCATTCATTGGGCTTGTTATAGGAGGGGGTCCTCATAGTGTCATTCATTGGACTGTGTTATAGGAGGGGGTCCCCATAGTGTCATTCATTCTGTGTTATTAGGAGGGGGTCCCCATAGTGTCATTCATTCTGTGTTATAGGGGGGGTCCCCCATAGCTTCATTCATGGACTGTATTATAGGAGGGGGTCCCCATAGCTTCATTCATGGACTGTATTATAGGAGGGGGTCCCCATAGCTTCATTCATGGACTGTATTCTAGGAGGGGGGTCCCCATAGCTTCATTCCTGGACTGTACTATAGGAGGGGGGTCCCCATAGCTTCATTCATGGACTGTACTATAGGAGGGGGTCCCCATAGCTTCATTCATGGGCTGTACTATAGGAGGGGGTCCCCATAGCTTCATTCATGGGCTGTACTATAGGAGGGGGTCCCCATAGCTTCATTCATGGACTGTACTATAGGAGGGGGTCCCCATAGCTTCATTCATGGACTGTACTATAGGAGGGGGTCCCCATAGCTTCATTCATGGACTGTACTATAGGAGGGGGTCCCCATAGCTTCATTCATGGACTGTACTATAGGAGGGGGTCCCCATAGCTTCATTCATGGACTGTATTATAGGAGGGGGTCCCCATAGCTTCATTTATGGACTGTATTATAGGAGGGGGTCCCCATAGCTTCATTCATGGACTGTATTATAGGAGGGGGTCCCCATAGCTTCATTCATGGACTGTATTATAGGAGGGGGTCCCCATAGCTTCATTCCTGGACTGTACTATAGGAGGGGGTCCCCATAGCTTCATTCATGGACTGTACTATAGGAGGGGGTCCCCATAGCTTCATTCATGGGCTGTACTATAGGAGGGGGTCCCCATAGCTTCATTCATGGACTGTACTGTAGGAGGGGGTCCCCATAGCTTCATTCATGGACTGTACTGTAGGAGGGGGTCCCCATAGCTTCATTCATGGACTGTACTGTAGGAGGGGGTCCCCATAGCTTCATTCGTGGACTGTACTGTAGGAGGGGGTCCCCATAGCTTCATTCATGGACTGTACTGTAGGAGGGGGTCCCCATAGCTTCATTTTCGCATGGACTGTACTATAGGAGGGGGTCCCCATAGCTTCATTCGTGGACTGTACTATAGGAGGGGGTCTCCATAGCTTCATTCATGGACTGTAGTATAGGAGGGGGGTCCCCCCATAGCTTCATTCATGGACTGTATTGTAGGAGGGGGTCCCCATAGCTTCATTCATGGACTGTATTGTAGGAGGGGGTCCCCATAGCTTCATTCATGGACTGTATTGTAGGAGGGGGTCCCCATAGCTTCATTCATGGACTGTACTGTAGGAGGGGGTCCCCATAGCTTCATTCATGGACTGTACTATAGGAGGGGGTCCTCCATAGCTTCATTCATTTGTACTATAGGAGGGGGGTCCCCATAGTGTCATTCATTCTGTGTTTATAGGAGGGGGTCCCCATAGTGTCATTCATTCTGTGTTATAGGAGGGGGTCCCCATTAGCATTCTTCAGGGAGGATAATATCCAATCATTGACCTTTGGAAAGGGGCTCCCCAGTCTATCCCTGGGAGGTGCTCTGATTTCAGGGGGTGCTCCATGTGGGCATCAGATCTGTCTCTACAGGAGTATGGCTGGCCTGCTATTGTAGAGCCCCAATGGGAGGTGGGGGGGGGGGGGGGGGAGAGTCAGTACCTCAGACATCGGGGGGGGGAGAGAAGTACCTCAGACATGGGACACTGCTGTGCCAGTGGTAGGAGACCTCTCAGTACCCTAATGTTTGTGGCCCCCGGGGTGCTGTGCCAGTGGTAAGAGACCTCTCAGTACCCCCAGTGTTTGTGGCCCCCGGGGTCCTGTGCCAGGGGTAGGAGACCTCTCAGTACCCCCAGTGTTTGTGGCCCCCCGGGTGCTGTGCAAGGAGTAGGAGACCTCTCAGTACCCCCAGTGTTTGTGGCCCCCCGGGTGCTGTGCAAGGAGTAGGAGACCTCTCAGTACCCCCAGTGTCTTTGGCCCCCGGGGTGCTGTACCAGGCGCAGGAGACCTCTCAGTACCCCAGTGTTTGGGGCCCTGTGCCAGGGGTAGGAGACCTCTCAGTACCCCAGTGTTTGGGGCCCTGTGCCAGGGGTAGGAGACCTCTCAGTACCCCCAGTGTTTGTGGCCCCCGGGGTGCTCTGTTAGGGGTAGGAGACCCCTCTCCAGTGTCTGACTTCATAGACTTGAAATGTCCTCGGAGGTTTTTAATTGAATATGGCGATT